ATATAGTATTGTATAAAATTTGCCTCAGTTTTTTTTCCATATTAGTTAGTTGTCATATCTACAATGTTTGTTTATCATTAATTAAATTTAGATATATCCTTTTTAGGAGAAATTGCCTTTTCAAGGTTTCTTTCTAACGGGGTTTAACATACTGTTTTGTGAAAATATTTTTTTAGTTTTGTCTTTTACCCAGCGTTTCAGCTGTAGGTGTTTATTTAAGTCCTAGGAAAGAGTTTAAGTTGCTCTCTGATGCTAGAAAATTATTTGAACACCGTCCTTACAGAGATCTCCTATAGCACATACACTGCTTCATTCCATCTATAAGATTTCCATCTGAAAAACCAGAGGATAAAGACGAGTTATGAGTCATAGGGTATTGTGACATAGTCTGTGATGTAATCCTGTACTTCATGTATACTTTATGATAATTCTGTTAACAACTTAATGTGCGATCAAAACAGAGTTATTGGTAATCCCTCCTAGGATTTTACAATTACCAAAGTATTTTAAATCCTTTAGAGTTAGTGGATGGCACAAAGTATTTTCAATGCTTGTCCAAGATGGGATACATCCATCGTAATTATGTGCCACATCCAAATACTTCTTGACTGCACTAAATTTTAATACATGTTAAAGTCTGATATACAGTATTAGTACCTCCCTTCTCTAGAGGAGATTTTACTTTTGATAGTTTTATCATATCATGTTTAAATGACCATATCAATTTAGGTGTTAGGGCATCAGTTGTTGGAAAGAATGAGGCTGGACACTATGTTTACAGTAGCACGATGGCTCAGTGGTTAGCACTGTTACCTCACAGCAAGAAGTTCCTGGGTTCAATCCCCAGCTGGACCTGGGGTCTTTTTGTGTGGAGTTTGCATGTTCTCTCCGTGCATGCGTGGGTTTTCTCCCACAGACCAAAAACATGCATGTTAGTCTGTCTTCAGGCCCAGGCCTCTCTTAAAGAGATCTGTGATGTCAATGGGTTTTGCCTGGTTAAATAAAGGTTAATTATAAATAATGATAAATAAATAAAATGTTGGAAGAGCCTGAAAAATAAATCTAAACTTGGGAAGAACACACATCTTAACAACATTTACTCTACCAATAAGGGAGATTGATAGCCCCTTCCATTTATGTAGTTATCTATTTTAAAGTTACCAATTCAGAGAAAAGAATTGAGTTTATGCATTTGAGTTAAATTATTGCATTAATGTAATTAATTTTATACTCTGATAATTTACTGTACTCTTTTAAAAGCAACATCAGGTGAGTTATTGAGTTTTTTTGGGATGTACATACTGTATATATTCATAGATCATCAGCATTTAAGTATGTTTTAAATTCTTGCTTGTCTTAATATCTTCACTGAGGTGTAAGGCAGATGCCAAGGGTTCAACAGCGCTGGCAAATAAGAGTGGTGATAATGGATACATCCTCTTTCCAGAGTAAAAGCTTTTGATTCTATGCTGTTTGTTATGATTGTCATTATTGGTGCTCTCATCTTGAGCAAGCATGAAGGCGACAGTGGAAAGTAAAAATTCCCTCATGAGGAAGAAACCTTTAGCAGAACCAGACCCAGGACAAGTGGTCATCTGCTTCAACCGGCTGGTTTTGATAGGAACAGATACACAATGGCAGGTCAAGAATCACATGTTAAGATCGAACTAGTATCAAATTAAAACTATTCTACATATATAAGACAAGAATAGAGATCATTTAACTTTGTTTGGCATCTAGAGATGATGGTATTTACAGCAGTCATTTTCTTATTTATTGTCAAATCTGTTAAACCAGAGTGTTAAGCCAAGGGAAGGAAGAGTCTATTTCCTGTAGAATTCTGAAGCAGTGCTGCTATGGACGATTTGAGGTCTCCACAATCGCCAAGTCCTTGAGGTCACTAAGTTTTCGAGAGAAGGAGCTCAACCTGGTGCTGAAGGAGCCTCTTTTCTGGCGGTGCTCCTCCCTGTGAGCTTTCAAACAAGCGCACAAGCCCTTAAAGAGGTCCTCAAGACGGTGCTGGAAATGGTTTCCAATAAAGCAGTAGAGCACAGGGTTTATGGCAGAGTTGGAGAAGCCTAGACAAAGGGTGAGGGGAGTGAGGTTTTTTATGGTCCATGTTACTGAGCAGCTGCCCAGCCAGCCCTTGCTCTTTAAAATGTCTAAGAAGGTCACACAGTGAAATGGGAACCAGCAAATGAAAAATGCCAAAACCACTGCAGCTACTGTCAACAAAACCCTCTCTATCCTACCGCCCGTTGGAGGTTTGTCCTCACTGGAGCTGGTGATAACACTGGGAGTTGGCGCTGGTTTCCTATGGCCTTCCTGGGAGGACACATTTGGAGGGTGGTGCGTCGTCATCAAATCTCTGTAGGCCAACAAATGTCTCCCAATAGCACAGTAGCAACAAGAGATGGCAAACAGAGGAAGCAGGAATCCTAGAAGGATCTTCATCCAGACCAGGACCAGAAACCATGTATCATCAGGGTATAAAATCCCACAGACCTCCGCATCAAGTTCCTTATGATGGACAGTGTCCCTCAGAGCAAAGGTAGGGGCTGTGCACGCACATGCCAGAAACCATACCAAGATGCACACCAGACAGGCAAGTTTGGGGTTTCGTGCACTCAGCGAGCGGAGAGGATGCACAATGGCAAAGTAACGGTCCATGCTCATGCTTGTGATAAAGAAAATTGATGCATAAAGGTTGAGGTTAAGGAGAGCTCCACAGATCTTGCAGGCTACCCTGCCAAAGGGCCAGTTGTAGCTTTGGGAATAATAGACGGCCCACAGCGGGAGAGACAGCAGGAACAGCAGGTCAGAGACACACAGGTTGAGCATGAAGATGTCAGCCACCGTCCTCCTTGAGTTACTGCCGCAAGCTAATACGAACACTGCCAAGGCATTGGCTAATGTTCCCACCAGGCAGATGATGCTGAAGATGGTTGGGATCACTGTTGTAATTGGTACAGGAGACCAGTCTGTGCAGGGGGGTGAAGCAGGGTCTAAGGAACTGTTCACATAAACATCTGTTGCTGAAGAAATGGAGGGGGTGGAGTTGGAAAGGGAGAGGTCAATGGAGATTGCCATTATGGAACTAGATGTTCCCTTTCGTCAGAAAGCTTGACTTCAACTTCTTTCAGATATCCAAGGTCAGCTGGACATAAAACAAAGAAGGAGAGTTTTTAGACTGGGCTTGCCTTTTATAGACAAATACGTTTCTTTACACATTATTCTTTAGTTGGCTGCGGTATTTATTTTCCTGTTTGATAAATAATCTCCAGATGAATTCATTACACCTCGTTGAAAGTTAAACAGCAACGAAAAATCTGAAAAGGGTTCTGGAATCCTGAGAAATTATTACAACGTGTTATTGTTTGGATTTATCCAAAACATTTTGGATTTAAATGAAAATGGTTTTAAATTATTTTTGGGGTTGAATGGATTTATAGAAATCGTTAAAATCACAAAAGTTAAAATTATCAAAGGGGAATAAGCCAGGGGTGAACATTAAAAAATAGCAGAAATGACCAGTTGTAAAAGGCAATAGACTTAAAAATACATCTATATATATCTTTTATATATATATATATATATATATATATATATATA